GCAAGCTTTACAATACCAGGTCGTGGCTCCTGACCATCCCCCTTTTCCCAGGCAACCTTCACAAGCAAAACAGAGGCATCTCAGTTGTGGGAAAGAGTTGCCCTGTATGGGTGCAGGGTAGGGGGGTTAAGGATCCTGCCCCCCCCCCAGCAACTTTTCTTCCAGATTGATCAGCCAGCCATCTCTATCTGAGCAAAAGCGAGCTCCCACTTCCATGCAAACCGTCCTCCCGTTCCACCCTACTCACATTGATTGCCACCCTGATGGCGGGAGCCTCTGCAAGGGTACGCTGCAGGGGTACCCAGCCAGGAGACCCAGAGAGCCAGAACCAGAGTGGAGGATCAGCCTTCGCGGCAGAAGGAAGCAGGCAACGAGAGCACCCGAGCTCTTGACGGAAACAAAAGGCTTGTCGTCCACCAGCCACGGCTGCCTTTGTTGTTCTCCGAGAGCAGCAGTCTGGTGGCCCAGATGGTTATGCCCGTGCTCGGTGCAACTCTGGGCTGGGATCATGTGACTGTTCCCTGTCAGCAGAATGGTGCTCCGGAGAGGTCTGCTGGAGAAGGAACAGCCATACGCCGGGGTCTGTGCACGCATGTGGGTGGTGCAAGAAACCTCCAGCCAGCCTCAGTCTGATCAAAATGCAGCCTTTTGGCCTGCTGGACCCCAAGTCCTAGGGTGCCGTTGACGCAGGCGTTGATCTCCCACAGAGGAGGAGAACAGGTGTCGGTGTTGGAGCGGGCACGATGATGCGCTTTATTCAAACATATTCAATAGGAGTGATCACGACAATGCTTGCGGTGCCTGGAAGACAAACACTTGGATTATTAGGCAAGCTTTGTGGAACACGCCATGCATCTGGTGAAATGTCTGTTCTTTTCACAGAAGATGTTGGCGAGCCCACCTCTTTGAGGGCTGGTAGATGGATTCTGCAGGGGGAGAGGGGTGTCAAACTTGGTGATACTTTGACCCCCTACAAGGACAAATCTGTTTGGGGGAGCCCTCCCCCTCCACGAATGACACCTAAATAATAAATAAAACTGCAGTGATGGGCAGATGGTTTGGACAGATTTATTTTTATTTATTAAATGTATATGCCGCCCATCTCCCCCAGACAGATGGCAAGACTCACGGGTTGAGTTCTCTCACCATGGGCTTAACCCAGGCAAACCAGGATCTACTCATGACAGTGTTCCTCCCAGCAGCATCCTCAGGGGTGGGTGGGAGGTGCCAAAAGGGGCAAGCCCTACATGGGCTGCTCCTTCCACCATCTTGCAGGTTAGGATTCCACCCATCCATGGAATTAATTTGTTTTTTGTCTCAACGAACGGGTTCCACAGCCTGAAAGTTTGAAAACTCCTCCTCTAAGAAGACTACCCATTACTGTTAAATAGATTTTATACCATAGGGAACATCTTGGAAAATCCCTCACGATGAAGTGGATCTATTCATTTATGAACCTGCTAGTTTGGAGGACAGTTCGATACTGTCCTTCTCACACTGGGGCAACCACGCACTTGCTCCCCGAATAAAATGAACGTTATCCATTCTCTCCATCCAGATGAAAATTAAGTCATGTTCCCTGTCTCTGGTTGCCTTAAAAAGGGGGTTAAAACCTGGCTTTTTCCCCAGACATGTGAGTCCAGGGAACAGAATGCCCTTTTGATTGTCTTAATTACCCCATTTGGTCCCCAATATTAATATACAACTAAATCCTTTATACATTGGGTTGTTTTTTAATGCTATAAGGTTACTTCTGTTAAGGGTTATTTTGATTGTATGCAACCTAGAGTTCCACTGTTTGGGTTGGGCAGCCTTATAAATGTGCGAAACGAACAAATAAATCCATTTTTCTACCACCAGTTCTACCTGGGCAACTAAATCCGCTCGTATTGCCATGCTTGAATGTTTGTGGCAGGCGTCCCCTTAAATAAAATATGCAATCACTTCGGCTATTATATTCCAAGTTCTTTATTTTTATTTTCAGCGCTGACATCCAGTTCTATGCATTCAGTCATTATTAGTCATTCGTTCCAAGATTTGTTTACTCATCTAGGTAATATTTCTCAGTATGCCTGATGTTTTACAGAATCACTACAAAACCTAACTGGCCACTGCATGAAGTGTTTTACAATTTAAAAATCTGTAACAAAAAACAACAGGGGGAACAGGATGCCAGGCAGGCAAAAACTTTGCCTTGCTTTCATCTCCACATAAAAGGCAATCATACCTAGCAACCATGGGGAATTTTTTAAAAATTCTATAGTGGTTGTGATTGGTTTTGAACAATCAAAACGACCAAAGAAAATGCAAACTTTTGAAAAACAAGGCCTGGGGAAGAATAAAAGCTAAACATTAGCTTTGGTCCTGGAGTTTGCAATTTAGAAACATGGCAGTTCCATACAAGAACGCAGTATGGTATGACGACAATTCCAGATATGTGGAGTTTCATTACCCAACTAGGTAACATCATCAGTAACACCAGGAGCACTGATGATGTTACCTAGTTGGGTAATAAAACGTCTGCAAGAAAACAACCAAGCTCAGAGATCACCAAGGACTCCACAGTCCAACCCTGAGCTACAGATATTCTCTTATATTGGAATTCCAGATATCTCTGTCCTTTGATCCACCTTGTTAGCTGTGTTGAAAAAAGGTAATTTATTTCCAGCTCAGCTGCTGCAGAAATGAAATTTCAACAAAACTATTGTTGTTCTTATTGCCATCATTTATTTTACTTTTTTAAAAAAAGATTACTGCGTTTAGTAAACACAAATAACAGTAATAATAATGCAAGTGATCTGTGCACATGTGATAAAAATAAACTAAAACTTTTTTAAAAAGGGAAAGATCCGTACAATATTAATATACAACTAAATCCTTTAACCCACTATTACATTAGACCATAGAGAAACAATTCTCAGTAGAACAATTCTCCTAGGTGATTCCTCAATGAAAAGATGGCTTAACGTCTTAGATTTTTTTTTCATGCAATCAGACACATGCACTTAACATACAGTGATGGTGTGGATAAATTACGTTGTTTTCCTCTGCTGTGGCTGGAAGGGAGAGCCTTTTTTTAAAACTCCCAGCCCTACAGCAGGGCAGTTGATGGTCATTCTCAAATCTGTCTTTCCAGAGTTTTAAACTCAAGAGCAGGGACAAGCTACGCATTCATCCGAAGATTTGGGAAACAATTTTGAAGGTTTGGAGAACAGAAACAGTGCCAGCACAGATGGAGATTCGGAAGCAAAGAACAATGGCTGGTGCGGGCACACATGCGCACGCGCGCGCGCACGCACACACACACACACACACCCCAGTGCTGAAAAAACAGCACAAGCCCCTAGTGTGCTGTCAGTCACTAATGAAATTTATGGAGTCAATTTCAGGACCTAAAGTCTCTAGCCGAAAATGCCTCTCTCTTCAACCACCCAAGTCACATTTATGGTAGCATATTTAAAGGACCGAAATACAAAGAGATCTTTTTGAAGAAGCGTGGGATGCAATTCTCTCTAGAACTATTCTTTACAGGAAAATTACACAACAAACATCCACTCCAGGGACAGCCCCCCCCAAATAATTTAAAAACAACGCAGCTCCTGGCTGAAATAAGGAAAAGGCTACAGAGCATAGGTTCACGCAAGCATGCAATCCGCTGAATGCCCAAGGGTTGGGGGAGGGGGCTTGTTCATTAACAATTTGGCTACCGTTTCATTAATTGGGCAATAGCCATCTTCCTGGGTTCCACAAGTGCTGCCAAGTCTTGTGCCAACTCACAGCATGATTCACTTATGGAACATTAAGGATGGGCTTTTTCTCAGCCCCCACGTTACCAGCATGGGGTAAGCTACTAAGTCGTGACAGACCCTGGTCGGCTGCCACGGAGAAATGGATGTGAGGATGGGCATTTTGTACCCCTGTGCAGAGTGCCCAGCCTGCTGGCAGCAGAAGGAACGAGTCTTAACTTAACAAGACCTCACGCAACGTTGACCAATGGGCCAACCTTCCATTTGCATGACAGATTATGGAAACAGAAGGCCAGCACACCCAATGGGCACCCTACTTAGGCCCACCTATCGGAACTAACATGACTAAACATCACAATAACCAGGGAGAGGCAACCTTCTGGTGATCGGAGGCCACACTGAACCTTTGCAACGGTTATGGCAGCAGTACAAAATGGTTGGGGTCATATGATACATCTTGGGGAAGCTGATCTTTTCCAGGAGTGGAGGGCCTTGTTTTTAAAAGTGGTGATCGTCAGTAGTAACCCTCACCCAAGGTTTTTCATGCCTTTCCTCATTCAGGATTTCAGCAAAGGGGCAGGAGAGATTTTCAGAAAAGAAAAGATCACTCAGTCCTGGGAAGGGCAAAATCCTGAGAAAGAACATCAAAATCAACCTGCTTTGATTTTGTTTGGTGAGGCAGAGAAACATCTGGACAAGCTTTCAAGATTCTGTTATTCTACCCTTCAACATAAAAAGGACTTCTGGAATCTGTTTCTTGCCTGTTACGTAACCTGGCCTATCTCAAAAAGCTGCATTTGGTAACTACGTTCCAAGATGTCTCAGGGCTACCTGTGAATCTGGAAGTCTCTCCCCCTCCCTCCAAATCTTGGGGCTTAATCATTCATGCTGTGAAAGGAAGTTCCACTGGCCTCATGATCTTCATTTTGATTCCAGATGTTTGGCAATACAGCCTTAACAACAATCTGCAAAGATCTTCTCACCAGCATGTCTATTTCTCATATCTCTGAGATTTTTACACAGATCTAGAGAGTGTAAGTTTTCCAGTTAACCTGGAGGGGATGGGGGAGCTAACAACCCCTCCTCTAAGAGATGCTATTCCTTCAGCAATAAAAAAAAGCCTGTAGTTTTCTTGTACTTATAGAGTGCAAAAATAACACTATTTAGTTCTCCAGAGAGTAAACGCAAGTTAACTTTCCACCTCAGAGTTACCAGGAACAAAGAAGACTACAACAACAATCCAAGTATTCCATGTTGTGTTTTTATTATTAGCTTGAAGGAACCAACAAAAGACAACTCAACTCTTACCAAATAAGGGTTTCACGATGCATCCTGGATAAATTCATAACACAAAACTGTTTCTAGCCACATGCAAAGACTCTCTCCATAGCAAACCATCTGATTCCAGGCCACCTTCTTTGTCCAGCTAATCCACGCTACTGAGCCAACCAGTAGGAGTTTTCCAGCAATCCAGCAGAAGTTTTCCACATCATGGTATGACCTGATTCTTTTCTAGTGGAAGTTCCTGGGAATTAGATCTGCAACCTTTGCACACCAAACCTCTATTTTAGCCCTGAGATATAGCTCTTCTTTCTAAATTCATTTTGTTTGGTTTTCCAGTCCATTAGCCCTCAGTCTAGATAGCAATCTTCTCAATGAAACTGCTCTCCAATTAGCAGCAGCAGAAATCCATCAATCTTGAGAGTCAGGTGAAACATCTAAGAGAGCTCTATTCTCTTAGTTGAGGAATTGGAAGAGCCTTCTCCATCTACATAGCACTTGTCAAGCCCACTCCATCATGGGATGGAACCCACCAAAGCTAATCCTCATTAAATCCATTTACCTTGATCAGGGCTTCTTGGCTGGACATCGAGTTGCAGTAGACCAAATCTAAAGAGTAACACAGATATATAAATAACTTGGTTGGTTGAGGAATGACATTTCCAAAGTCAGTGGTGAAATAAAGAGGCATTTGGGGGATTAGCTGATTGACACCTTTGTGGGTCCCTTCTATTGATGTCATTAAACATTCAAGCTGCCTCCAAAGAAATGTTGATGGACACAATATTAGATCCTACAAACCTTTGATCTGCAAGGCCTCCATCGCATATGCTGCCATGAAGAAGTAGAACAGATGTACCCAGGAGGTAGGAATGGATGAGCATTGAGCAGATGGAATTCAGGATTTCGGGGGTGAGGGTGAGGGTGCAGGGACATTGGCACAAGAGACTGGAATTGATGACACTCACAAGGCCAACCTCAGAACTGACCACTCCCTACACGGAGAAGGATGACCTGGCACCCTTAAGGAATCCTTTGGAGTCCAACATGAGAGATGTGGCTGTGCTGGCAAATATGGAGCAGAGGATACAACCATTCTTGGATCTGCAGACCCCTGCCTCGGGTTCACCAACGAAGTTTCCAACCTCACTGTGGATCCTGCCTGCTCCATGCAACGAGGGCAGGTAGACCACACACGGTCCACCCAACCTGGGATTTTCATGCACACCTCCAGCTCATGGCTTTTGGGTCCTTCAGTGCAAGTCACTGCTCTGCGGCAAGGCAACTGGAAGGCTGAGTAGAGACTGGGTAAAGCAAGGACATGTGTTCAGCCCCCTTGATGGGCAGCTTGTGGCTGGCATAGTGGTGGATGACCTCTGGGATGTTGTCGAAGGGAGGGCTGTGCTGGCCCAAGACAAACTTGTTGTCTTCTGTCTGCAAGAGTTGCATGTGAAGGAACCCTTGGTTGCTCCTAGAGAAAAGGAAGCAGAGAAACACAGCACAGACTTGTATGCAGGATTCCAGCCATTCCCTTTTAAGATTGTGACAGGGGCCGGGGGCGGGGGTTGCTAACATGTAAACATGGGGTATTTTAAACCCAGTTTGTTGAAAAAGCCAAAACAAGCCATAATCAGACCTGATTCATACTTTGTGCTAAGCCATAATGGGATTTGCCTGTTTTAACTTAGCATGTTGGGTAAACCCAGGCACTGTGTTTTCTAAACCATGGCTTAGGACTTATTAGTGGGGTATATGAAACCCAGACAATTCACATTCACCCAGCAAATCATAGCTTAGCTCAAGCTAACCTGCTTATTACAATAAGACAAACCATGGTTTATTCACTGATCACATTCTCACAGCAGACTGAGTCAGAAACATGATATTACAGCTTAGAGCAGTGTTTCTCAACCTTGGCAACTTTAAGTTGTGTGGATTTCAACTCCCAGAATTCCCCAGCCAGCACACTGGCTGGGAAATTCTGGAAGTTGAAGTCCACACGTCTTAAAGTTGCCAAGGTTGAGAAACACTGACTTAGAGTAAACCTTGACTTGGCCTTAACATGACTAAAAGCAAAGTAGAACCTGTGTCTCTTAGCTCATTCAGTGGCTCCCTTTCCCTGACCCAGGGTCAATGCCAGATTTTAGTGGACACCAAGACTGTGGTACCAAGAGGCAGAATAATTTGCATTCACACACTCACTTGAGGGAGAGGGAAAAGGCATCGTGGCTACTCTCACTGTTTCGAACCAGGTAACTTGCTTCCCGGCAAAGTCGCAGAAGACCCTCAGCATCCACCCGGCTCAAGGTCCCGTGATACCACCTGCAAGGAAGAGATTCATTCATTCATTCATTCATTCATTCATTCATTCATTCATTCATTCATTCATTCATTCATTCATCGCTATGTTTAGAACAGGGAATCCAGCAAGTCACGCACGCTCCTCCAATCCACCTTTATGGCTTCTACAATACGCCCAGGTTACAGCACTGAATCTCTTCCTCTTCAATGAAGGTAAGTCTCTTGGCCATGGATGTCCACAGGGTGGTGGGCAAAAGATATAGCACACACCACAAACTGGTCAGCCTTACAAGATAGACCAGACTAAGAAACCAATGCCATGTAGGTCAGCTCTACTTTTACTGAAGCTACAGTAACAGAATCTTGCGAGTCCGAATGCGCTTCCCCCCTCCCTCCCTTTATCTTTGTGTGAACTTGGGTCGGGAGGCTTGTTTGAGACATTTTCTCAAGTTACTTTCTTGACCTGGGCTCAAGGGCTCTCTTCTCCAACTGTTCCCTTGGTAGCAGCTCTTCCTCCTGCCCTTCAAGGCCATTCCTTCTTCCCTCTACAAAACCACAAGGCCAATTCTGCCCCATGTGTCCTTGTGTGATCACGTCACAGGCAAGTCGCCAGGCCAGAGCACGCACTGCGCCATCATCACACACATTTCATCCTTTGGACAAAACCTTGGCTTCTTCTAGACCACCCTGCCCGTGCCTAAAAATAGTTACAGGCCCCCACTTTTACATACTACTGATCAGCAGCCCAAACATCCTTGTGCCCTTAACATCTTCCTTCTTCTCCACACATACATAAAATTCTCCAGCCTGTAACCTCGCCACTCAGCTCAAGGAAGTTGAGCGCATAAGTGGACCGGTCCAGAGGATGCTTGAGTGACCGCAGAGCCACAGCAGGGCCCATCCTCCTTGGCTCCCTCCTAGCCTACTCACGCTTGGCTCTCGAGTGGCACAGCCGGATTGACGTGTTCGCCAAAAGCTGCCCCTTCCTCCGTGCTCAGCCAGCAGGGGGCGCTCTTTCCCTCTGTGCATGCCGGCAGGTGGCTTTTCACCGTTCCTGCGCCTTGGAGCAGAAGCACATAACTGAACGTGAAAGGAGGATCATGCAGCTGTGGGAGGGAGGTGCAGAACCAGAGTGAAGGCAGGATCAGGCCCTGGGGAATTGGGGGTGGGATGAGACGGAGCTAAAAATAAAGCCCAGGTGCAGAGAATGTGGCAAAGGCCGGGCATCTGCAGTGGGATCAAGAGGATGGTGGTGGGAAACTGCAATGGAAACCCCGCCCCTTTATTACATCACACGCATGCAGAAAAGAAAGGGGGGGGTGAGACTTTGAATGCGTGGTTGCAACAAGCTTGACTTTTTTACCCCCTTCCTCCCCCGCACACAGGCCCCTCTGGGCACAGGACAACCCCCAATTCTGTTTCCTGGGAATTCTGAATTTGCTGTTTGACCAAGTTGGGCTAATGGCTGCATTTCTGGCAATGTGATGTCGCTCTGCTGATTTTAAATGGAAGTGGGCAAAGCCTCAGGCCCGTGAAGGTGAAAGATCAGGGTGGGCAGACACAAAAAGTGGAAAGAAATTAATCAAAGGTCAACATTCAGGGTAAACCTGCACAGGATAGTCCTGGAAAGATATGAATATGAATATCATGGGTAGCATCTTTTCAGATTAACTCATTTTATTAAAAGGCATAAAGTTTTGTAAACTTTGTAAGATACAAATTTTATTAAACAGCTTAAGCTTCCATGAACTTTCACTTCATCAGATGCACGGTTTTAGCCACTCCCTGCATCTAATGAAACGAGCCGGAGTTCACAAAAGCTTACAGTTTTTAAGACGATGTGTTGGTTTCAAAAAGATGCCACGAGACTCCTCACTTCATCATGCTTCACACTTGCCATCTTTAATCTTTGCCTTTTACGTTCTACTGATTCGATTATAATTTCTTTTTTGATTGTCGGGAGCTGCCCGGAGTCACTGAGAGTCGGGTGGCATGAAAGTTTAATAACTGATGATGTTGACGGTGATGATTTGCTATCGAGTCAGTGTCGACTCTTAGCAACCACATAGCTTTGGTTATCATGGACTTACACAGCTCTCCTCCCATTAAGAACACAAGGGCATTTCCTTTCTGATCCATGACAAAGCAATGATTTCCAAGATCCTAGGTTGGCCTGCAGTTGACCCTGTTGCCATTATACAACAATTTATGTGCTCTGGTTATGCTATTTCAAGGGCTGTAACACACACACCCATGTTCACATAACAGGCTGCATCGTTGGAGGATACTCACTACTAACATCCAGGGGACAGGACAGGGCTGGGGAGTCGGGAGTGTCGGTACTGGCCTTCTGGAGGCCTGGTGGAGCATCTGCAGATAAGCCTCTCGTGCTGGTGCTTTGGAGAATGAGGTGTTTCTCGGGTTCCGAGTGGTTAGTCGAACTATCAAGCTGTCCAACTGGTGGAGGCCACGGCAAGTCTTTGATCCCTTCAATCTCAACTGGGTGAGCCATCAGGAGAGAAGAGAACGGTTTCAGGAGGGGGGCTGGCTGAAGATGCTCAGAGAGCAGGAGGCCTCGGGGTCAGGCAGCCTTGTGACCATGGGTGGGGAAAAGACCATCCGAGTCAAATTCTCAGGACCTCTCCCACCCAGATGAACGAAAAGAAAGGTGCAGAGAATCAGCTGTGGGTGTGGTAGATTACAGGCAATGCATCTTGCAATGGGGGGGATGAACAAATTGATAGACGGGTTTTGGCCTCCCTTTCATTCCTGTTCCAATCAACCCCTAATCTGAGCTGCCCCACGGGAGGGCGGGAGGGAGGAAGGGGAAGCGGAACTGGAAGAAAAGAGAGAGAAAGAGAAAGGGGAGGGGAGGGGAGGGGAGGGTTTTTCAAACTTGGCAACTTTAAGATGTGTGCACTTCAACTCCCAGAATGCTGGCTGGGGAATTCTGGGAGTTGAAGTTGACACATCTTAAAGTTGCCAAGTTTGAAGAACACTGTACTAGAGCAAAAGTCCCCAGTGCCTGGGCCAGCAGGCGCATTTTGAATTTTGGAAGCATGGCCACTCTCCAGAAATTGCTTTCACGGCCCCCCTTTTCCATTTACAAACCGATTACAAGTTACCACACTGGTGAGACTGCTCCCACCACCGTCTCTAGCCTATTAGCTTGACTTTTTTTTTCCTAAAGAGATAAACCCCCTTGCCAAAAAGGACTTGGCATTCTTAGAAAACAAGAACGGTTGGTCGCTCTGGCTGATTCTCAGAAAACAAAGCAGAGGTAGCGCGTGGTTCTGCAGCCAGCCAACTTCCCCTCTCCGTTTAAAAAAATGAAACGCATCTTTCAAAACAAAGTCATGTGGGTGGACCAGGAGCCTGGCATCATTACTTCTGCTGGTACTAACTTAGTACCACAGTTAGTACCACTGTGGCGCTAACCAGTGCTGCAGCATCTCGTCTTGGCTTACCAGCAAAGACTCTGGAGATCCGCTCCCTTTTCCACTCCCAAGGCTGGTCATACTCTTCTGGAGGTCTCTCATCATTTTCTGGCAGCCACGAGTAACGGCAGGGCTGAGAAGAAGACTGGACGTCTGGGCCTGGTTCGTTCTCAGGGCCTTCGTAGGGAGTGTCATACAAGTGCAGGAGCTTTTGACTGGCAAGTCCTTCCTTGGACCCATTCTTCTGAACCTCTGGTGGCAAAGAGGAGGAGAGTCCACTTGAAGACCTCCCACTCTTGGCTATGCATGCATCACAAAACCAACTCTCACCTCCAAATATAACTTTTCATCGCATATTGGAAGGACGTTGTGCAGCACACAAGCAGCAGTGAGGCTGGTCCACCAGAGGAGGAGAATGAAGAGAAGAAAGCAGAGCTCAGCTACATCTAATATCCCAATATCCCTCCTCCTGTTTTTTTTTTTTTAAAGTGCATATGCCATTTTTTGGCCAGACAGGCCCCAAAGCAGCTGAACAAAACAGTCCAAGTACAAAAATACGTGCCCAGCAACCAGATAAAAAGTGGATCATTTTTGTCAGTTACATCTTGTATTTATCTTCGTTTACTCCATTTAAATATATACACTGTCCACATTTGCAAATTATAGTAAGCCACAATGGCTGTAAAATCTGGCTTATCAGAAACCAGAATGTTTACAAGTGCATTCTGTCCAAAGACTAGCACAGCTCCTACCATAAAAAGAAACCAGAAACTGATCTGGAAAAGATCATTAAAACCGACCTTCATGATGATTTGTTGAATGAATCACAACTAATGCATTCACACAACACACCAAACCGTGAACCACACCAGTTGGGTTCAGACATGTTAAACCGAAATCAAGCCATCCATATGTTGGATAAGCCCAAGATATGAACCCAACTTTGGCTTTAGGATTGAAGCAGAGCACCTACATTCCCTGCCTTCAAACTCCAGCTAACTAGAGTTTGCATATAACCCAAACAGAAGGGCGAAACAGGAAATGAGAGCATGGATTTGCAGGACATTCTCAAGCCAAATGAAGCTATGGCAGGGGTGGATATTCACATGCTCCTGTATATGTCCCAAGTGTTCACTGGGGAAGAAGAATGAATTCCATGCCCTAAGACAGTGTTTCCCAACCTTGGCAACTAAGACGAGTGGGCTTCAACTTCTGGGAGTGGAAGCCCACCCATCTTAAAATTGCCAAGGTTGGGAAACACTGACCTAAGAGTCAGCAAGAGATGGGATGACTAAACACTTCCCTTACCAGCCAGGAGTCTCTGAGCTTCAAATGGTTCCACGTAGCCTTCATTCTTCTCCCTTTCCTGCTCCCCCATCTGACTGCTAGTTTCTTGCCTTATATCGAATGGCTCTGAATAGTCTTGCAGAATTGTCACCTAAAAAAGGAAAAGGCCGTTCATGTCGTTCAGAAGTAGCCAGGGGGAAAGCAACAGCAACTTTTGCTTGGGGACAAGGAAGACCAGCCCTCCAAACCAAGATGCACCCAAGTCCTTCATTCTGAAGGTCCAATTTCCCCCTTTGACCTGTCCGGGAGCAGCCACACTGGAGGACTGGGAGATTCAAGCAAGAAACCAAGTCACTTGTCCGCCCGTCCATACATCAGCAAGCCCAGGAGAAATGCGTCAACTATTTGCTAAAATGGAGACCCAAAGGCAAAGTCTACCGTTACTCAGCACGTGCTTCTGCCTGTATGTTCAAAAGAAAGGCCCGTGGGCTGGATTCACACAAGACACAATGCTGGGCTAAAAGAAGGTTGAGCGTTTTGCAACTCAGGATTGTCTCTGCACGTTGTGTGAACCAGTGGATCACATCAAGCTATCGCAGGCATGGGATGTGAACCAGCAGCGGTGTTTTAAGAAAGATTTAGCCTCTGAGGCTATGAGTTTTACTGCTTTGAGATAAAAGGCCAGGATGAAAGTGTATAAATACAGTCCCATGGTCTGTTTCCTGGGGAGCTTTCAGCTTTTCTAAAACGCAAACAAAATAGCTAAGGGACCTGGCTTAATCTGGGGATCTTTCCGGCTTTTTGCGCAACCTGTTTAATTTAGCATGCCTACTCTTTATTTCGCTTTTCTTAGTGGCCCTAAAACATATTACCCACCCATGAATTCCAGTCTACACATACGGACGTGTATATACCGGCCCATACCCACTACCATCTTTTCTCCCCTACCCCCGGGACATAAAGTACATTACAGGGCGCCCTCCCAGATGCTCCCGAGTACCAACTCCATAGAGCCTCGCCGTGACCCACGGCCGATGGAGGTTTGAATCCCAAACGGGGCGCAAACTGGGCAGCCCGGCGAGAGACGCCAGGCCGGCTGGCTCCCCGGGAAGG